ATGAAAAAAAATTTTTTTCTATAACAATAGTAAATCTTCTTTATCTTATTTAGAAAAAAAAAAAAAAAAAAAGCTTAATCTTTCTTTTCTACTTTAAGATACATTCACAGATTCCCGAAGACGATTATCGGTTTATTGAGTCTTAGGACTTTAGATGGGGTAGGAAAAAAAAAGCTGCCAAATAAAAGCTGTTTGTAGTGTAGTTGTTTTTGTTATTACAAAAACTGTATGTGCACTTAGAGCAAAATTTGTTGCCATACAGTGTCAGTTGAGAAGTATTTGGGAGAATTGGGAGTGGGGGGGAGGGGGGGGGAGACGGGGTAGGGAAATTCAGTGTATCTATTAAACCGTTAATGCTATGATTCTGTAATGCAGTAATAATTCTGCAATTTCAAGAACTCTTTTTCTTCTCAGCAAATTTTAATGAAACTCAATTGATTCAGAATACATCGAACTTTGCTACTTCTTCCAAAGATAATGCTAACAGTTTTCATCAGCAGTAAACGACCGACAACCGTCTTTGTAGATTTCATTTTTTGGTTAAAATTATAGTTCTTTTAGTGCTTAAAAAAAAAAAAAGAAAAACTTAATAATTCTGTTATTGAATGTTGTTCAAATTTACTTAGATATCAAAAATTATTTTTATAGTTGTTTCCTTCAGCATAAATAAGATTATTATCATCACTGTTTTTTTTTGTAACTTCTGTCAACAATTATTATTAAACTTTTTTGTTTCTAAATTTCTTGTTTCTAAATTCTTCTACAATATACTGTTAAACAGTAACAACTTTGTTTTGTAGAAGTTTTAATTTTTATCTTGACAATGTTCAATGGTCAAACAGCAATGTAAAAACATTTATTTCTCTGTTATATTTGAATCATTAATTTCAAAAGAAACTTTTTTTTTTTATTACTTACCTTACTCAGTTTGTTTAGACCAAATTTTTTTTTTGATATTTAATTAATAAATAGAAAAAAATTATTATTGTTATAGAAGGGTATCTTGGAGAGATCAATTTACAGGTGTTATTTGGTACCAAAACGACAATAAATTGCTGGCTTTTAGTTGTAGTTTCAATTCAATTCTTTTTTTTTTTTGTCGATTTTCCACTCTTATGTATGACACTAAAAAGGTGAATACAAACAGTAAAAACATATGAAAACATATTTGCTTGTTGCCACTGGATGCAGTGAAGAACGTCGTCAGCAGGGCTTCAGATGGATGATGTTTGTTGGGGGGGCGATGATGACGACGATGAGGAGGAGGAGGTTTGTTGTTGACGGCCACGGTCCATGTCACCGCACCTCTTGTCGATTCAGCCATCTGTTCATACCCACAAATAGAAAAAAAAATTAAAGGAACCAACAGGTTTCTGTTACTGTTGCATATATTATGACTTTCTACTTTTTTTTTTTTACTTATAATTTATTTTTCTCTCGAAACTTCTACTTATACTTTTGTTGTTGCTGTCATAAAGCCAATAGTACAAAAAAAAACAAAACACAAATCAGTAATTTTCGAAGCAATTCTATTATAATTTTTTTTTCTATTACTTTCAATCTGTTCTTTTTTTTTCGATTATTTCCTGTTTTTTTCCTCTGTCTATAAAATCTGTTTTTTTTTCTTTTTTTTGTACAGTACACATGAAGCAACAGTTAACTGCTTCAAAACTTCTTTTTTGAGTGATTTTCTTTTTTGGTGAATTTCGTGCAAATGAAAATAGAGGAAGGGGAGGGAAAGAAAGAACTAACAAAAAATAATCTTCAAAGCAGATTTTCTTCCTGCTTTTTTTTTTTTTACTCCGACTGACGATTGAAATAATCAGATACCTATAACCGGAACACAACTGACACTCGCGAAGTTTATAAATGGCACTGTTCAAGAGCAGAATTTTTATTTAAGAGAAATCATAGAAATTTTTTCATAACTAGCATGTTTTTTTTTTTTTTGCAGTGAAAGAGTGCGATTAAAAGTTGTTGTATGACATATACCCAAATAGAATATGTTATGTACATTGTTTGATGGGTCTCCGTTTTTATTCACTTTCCAGAATTATCGTTGGAAAGAAATCAAGAGCAGGGTCAAGAAACATCAAGTAAAGACTGGTGAGGAGGAGCGGAGAGGTGGAAGAGGGGAGAAAAAAACAGCAAAAATCTAAAGATTTTTTTTTTTTACCAAAAATATTTACAAAAATCTAGATTTTTACTCCAAATATTTCGACTTAAATCAGAATAGTTTTTAGTCTAATTTACGATAGCAAAACAAAATTTTATATGTATAAATCTTGTCTTTTTTTTTTTTCTTGCTAGTTACCCTATTAAATGCAACTGTTTGTCCAGTGTATTTTTGTAGTAACTATTAACAAACAACAACAAGAAACTAAAAAATTAATAAGTTTTTTTCTTCTGAAGCAATTGTTGTATTTAGACTAAGCTTACCAAAACGAAAAAAAGCTGCTTTAAATAATAATAATAATAACCTTTGCTTTACTTAGTGCAAAAAAATATGCTTGAAATAGTGGCCAAATAAAATCTATTTTATTAAGCACTTTTTACCAATAACAGAAAAAAAACAGCAGAAAAGATTTCATACAAACACTTGACTGAAGTTCAGCAGCAGATACAGTTTTGATTGTTATTGTTGAAGCAAATAGAATTTCTGGTTTCAAGGTTGTAAAAAAATTGAGTTTCAAGACACTCACCTTTTAGTCATGTCTAAGACATAAAGATTATTTTGCCAAATACTGTCAAATAATTGATTATACTAAACGATCTTTGAACTCTTAAAAAGATTGCTTAGTCTACTAAACCAATTTTAATACAACTGTATTGAAATTTTAGATTGTTTCTAAATCGACAGCGATCATGACGGTTGTTGAACTAAAACTTCTTATAAAAGTCTCTAAAAAAGTTTCATCTTAATCTGACTAATTTTATTTTTTAAGCTAAAACAACAACACACCATTTCCTTATGTTATCCTTCAGGTTACCAGAGCGCTTATCAACGTTGAATAGGTAGTTCATTAAAAAAGCAACAAAGATAGACTAAGAGAAAAAGTTGAAAAAAAATAGGAAGGAAAGAAATGACGGTATTATTGAAATATCAGTTGCAAAAGAAAAGTTAAGAAGTTTGA